AAATTATAAAATGGCAACTTTCCTTAACTTTTGTTAGTTGTTAGTAAATATAGCTATATTATAATTAAAGCAAAAAAAAATTATAATGTTCCCTTAACATTTGTATAACCACAAAAAAAGCTTTTAAAACCTTAAAAAACTGGATGTTTTCAATGTTCAGAGAACATTCCCTACGGGAATTTATTTTTGCTTTAATTATAATATAGCTATATTTACTAACAACTAACAAAAGTTAAGGAAAGTTGCCATTTTATAATTTACCAAATATTATATGTACATTTGAATGTTTTTTGAACATTCAGAAACAAGTAAAAACATTAGTTATTAGCAAAAACTTTAGATGAACGTCCAACTAAAATGTTTCGTTCCATGAACCATGTATAAATATGGTTTTATGCTAATGTTTTGAGTGTGTTATTAAAGACCAGATAACTTTGAACAAATGTTCTAGTAACGTTACTGGAAGAACATTTGTTCATAACTTTGAGAGAACTTTCCAGAACGTTAACCAAACTTCTGAGAACATTCCTAGTTATCTTCTATTATCTCTGTTATTTTAGTAAAGCCATGCACAATAACCTCTCTATTCAGAGAATAAAAAGTTAAACATTATTCGCTCCACTGCTAATCTTTGGCAGCCTGCATGTTCTCTCAAGCCAGCCAGCTCTTGGTTGTTCAGTCAAATTGTGACAATTGTCTGAAGGCATTTGCCATAGATTGGGAGGAATGGCAGTGAACCTCAGCCCACACACACTGAAAAAAAAATCCTTTGTTGGCCATAACCTGAGTGTTTGCAGACTTGTGTCTTTAATGCATGTGAAAGCACACATAAGAGAATTGTAGAATGCTGTTGACTCTGTGTCATGTGCATCTCACAGGCAGATGTGGTGCCTTGAAGATGATTCTGGCGGACAATGAGCAGAAGTTGAAGGAGAACCTGGTATCCAGAGAGGAGTGGATGAAGGGTGATAAGAAAGGCAGCTGTGTGAGTTACAGAATTACCATTATTTTCCCCCAGTTTTATCATTTTATTTATTTAAAAAACATAAACAATCTATGCATGGTTTAATTAAGTTTAAGCTGTATCCCTTCCCTTACATGTTGTTTTTTTTTTTATTTGTTTTAGCTCTTTGGACAGTTGCCTATATTTGAAGATGGTGACCTGGTCCTGTATCAGTCCAATGCCATTTTAAGGCATGTGGGTCGCAAACATGGTAACAATCACCATTTTAATGCATTAGAATAAAATCAAGCATACTTAAAGTTTGTTTTGTAATGACCACCTGCTTCATGAAAACCTAATAAAGGCCCAATGTTGGGAGAAGAAGTTTTTATCATGTTTCAAGTCGATGGGACCAGATTGTTCATTCCCGTTCCAGGATGACCAACAAATTTTAAATATTAGAAGATGATAATAATTAATAATAATGTATGCATTTAGCAGACGCTTTTATCCAAAGCGACTTACAGTGCATTCAGGCTATACATTTTCTACCAGTATGTAAGATATAAGATCCACCTACATATTCTTTTTGTTAAAATACTTTATCCCGAAAACATGTTTTATTACACTGTGCTTGGTTTAACCCCATGAAAAACTGTTTTTCCCCCTTATTTAATAATTTGAAAGAAATGTTTCACTATTAATTAATTCAAATATTATATATAGTGTGTGTGTGTGTGTGTGTGTTTGTAGGTGTAAAGTAAATAATACAAAATAAGGGAAAAACCACGGGAACTATTTTTAATATAAAATTTAATAAAAACGAATGTCTGTACATACATACACATACACATGTTTTCACCATTATTTCTGCCTAGTCCTGTCCTGTTTCTGTACTGCAGGACTTTGACAGGCTTTTATTTTGAAAGCGCTCTAGATCAGGCGCGTCTCTGCCTTCACGCTTCTGCCAGCTCCCTTAGCCATCTGCAGAGTTAGCCAGGTGCAGTTTAAACAATGTCTTCTGCTGAAGAAATTTCCAACTCCGTGGGGGAGAATTTGGAGGAAGACGGAGTAGAAGAGGAGAGCACTGTAGAGGAAGCGGAGATGGAATATGAGGAGCCTGTGAAAGGAGGTTATATCTTCTACAGGTGAGTTTAGCAGCTAGCTTAGCATGATAACTGTGAGTGAGTGTGTTGTGCGGCTAAACACTTCAGGAAGACATGTTTAGTTATTCTCCGCAGCATTATGTGGGACATCAGCTTTTAATAACGTTTCAGATGTCATCTGGCTCGTACATACAAGCAGTGCACTTTAGTGTGCAAGCAGTTGTATTCGTTTTGTTTATGAGTGATTCACATGAAATGACTCAGGAGCGTATTGAAGATCTGAATTAAAAATGCCTTAAATCGTGAAAAGGGTTTAGTTAATAGTGTAATCATTTGTTAGTACTCTAGTCTATAATCAATTTTTTTTATAAAAAATATGCAATTTTATAATTTACATATTAAATATTTCTTTCTGAGATAACTGGATGTCATTCACTGAATTAAACATGCAATGTAATGTGGTCATGTGGCAACAGTTCAGCATACTACGGTTTAAAACCTTCCTTGTTGCATAATGCATACTTCCTTTTTAAAAATGGTATGCAATATATAGTATATACAGAACTGCCATATTCTGTTCTTTTACACATTCAGGTGCATATGGAAAAAACGACTGTGAGGCTTCTCTTATTGACATGATGAACGATTCAGTTGAAGATCTTCGCCTAAAATACATCAAACTGATCTACCAGGAATATGTAAGTACTGATGTGACTGTAAATCTAGTTTGAGTATGACAAGTAATTAATTAATTAAGTTTAGTCATATTTTATATATAAATTAATTCCGGTTTCTGTTTTTTTCCCCCCATTTAATTATTTATTCGTTTTTACTTATTTTTTAAATGAATTTAAAAAAAATGTAAATAATATAATACACTTTATACTATATATTATGGAATGCAATTATAAAATATTATTTATCAAACATTTCATGTTTTATATATAACAAATATTCAGACACTGGACAAAATGGTCGCCCGTTTAGAGCCATTTTAGGGAAAATGCATGGTAAACATCATGTGATATTACCCAAGACATTAGTTCATTATTTTCTATTTGTATTGTGTCCCTATCTGTAGGAGACTGGTAAGGAAGCGTACTGCAAAGATCTGCCCAACCACCTCAAACCATTTGAATCTATTCTGTCCAAAAGCAAATCTGGATTCCTAGTTGGTGATCAGGTGAGAAATCAAGCACACACACCAGAAGGGTAACAGATGTAATATAGTACATGCTTAATTCTGATTGTCACCCACTTTTCAAATCTCCTCACAGATCTCATTTGCGGACTACAACCTGTTCGACCTTCTGCTGAATAATAAAGTCCTTTGCTCTGCCTCTCTGGACTCCTTCCCAACTCTCAAGAGCTATGTGGATAAGATTGCTGCCCGGCCCAAAATCAAAGCCCTCCTGGAGTGTGAAAACTTCAAGAAACTTCCCATCAATGGCAATGGCAAGCAGTAATTCAGTAGAACATTCTCAAACAATGGCACTTGCTTTTAAAAGGCCTTAACTGGTGCTCTGTGATTAGCAAAACATCTCAAGTCTTTGTATGAACGTCTATTTTGTATGTTTAACTGTTTTTGATCGTTTTTACTAACCGAAAGCCATGTATCAATTATTATGAATAAACAAAATGTAAACATTTCAGTGCTGCTTTAAAGAACAACTTTACGCCACCTATACATAAAACATGTTTGCATTGCATTAATAAAATAACAACTTTAAAGTTTAACATTTCTCTAGAGTGCCTTTATTTAAATGAGAATCTTTAGAATAAACATTTAAATTTATTATACTTATAAATAAAAATAATGTCGATATAAAATGGACTAGTGCCGAGCATTTGTTAATCTGAGTCTGATGTAAATATAGTAAATATAGTACATATTTAAATATTTAAGTAAATATTTTTTATATATAAATTCATTACCACTGTTTTTTTCTTTTCTTTTTTTATTTATTCATTTTCCCTATTATTTTAATTAAAATATAAAAAAGATTTACACTGAAAATTTAGAATTGCAATATATATATATTTATGTATACTTTATAATAAATTATGATCTGTATACTAATGTATAATTTATATATGTGTGTGTGTATGTATATATATATATATATGTATATATGTGTGTATACACGGTTGCTACAGATGTGTTTTGATGTTAGCTCTCTGAGTGAATCACGGGAGCTGAATCAATACGTCAGAATGAGTCATTTGAACTGGATCAAGAGAATTGAACTGGATGTAAACAATCTAATCCAGAGCAGAACTATAGGAGTATTTTTCATCCTACTTTTACTTTTACTTTACTTTTACTTTTAGTCATTTAGCAGATGCTTTTATACCTATGATGAAAATTACAGGCCTCTCTCATCTTTTTAAGTGGGAGAACTTGCACAATTGGTGGCTGACTAAATACTTTTTTCCCCCACTGTAACCCCTCGATTTCCGGTTTTGTTTTGAAGAAAACATGGAAACACCAAAGACGCTTTAATATGTTGTGTGTATTAATAGACCGGTGACGACCGCACAGAGTAGCATTAAAACAGAACTTTCAATTGTATCTAGTATGATAAAACAGCGCTGCTTTTTTCCCCACACATACGCACGACCGGAAGGAGCAGAAGCGCTCGACTGTGGCATAATAAAAGCTCCGCTGCTTTCGAGCCGTGTCTCACGCTCGTTCAGCGGCCTCGTTTCGCTTCAACGGCTTTCATCCTCACCCTGCTTCATTCTACTACGTTAATAAATCATTAGCTCATCTGTGAACATGATTTCTGCCCGAGTCCCGTCGGATTGAATCGGCTGTGGGGATGAAGACCACAACTCCCATGATTCCACACTCAGTCACAGCATCATCAAACTATGCCTTTGTCTATTTGTTTATTTTGAATATGCGCCCTCTAGCAGCGAAAATTACATATTGTGCCTTTAAAGTGGGGTGTTTGATGTCTGTAGGCACTACAGGAGAGTTTTACTGCAGGCTCTAGATAAAGACCTGAGAGAAGAGATGAAGTATATCACAGCCATCATAGAGGATCAGCCTAAGAACTACCAAGTCTGGTAAGTCCACATCAAAATTTTGAAGTTTGAGTAAAAGTAAATCAATCAATAAAATCATTACCAATGTTTGATGTTTAGATTTTTTTTTCATTAGATTTGTTGTATGTCCAAAATCTCTTGTATTTTACTAGCACACTATAAAAATGATTTTTTCAAAGTTGTAAATAAAACAAGATTATTGGATTGTTTTGTCAAGTAAATATATTTCAGTCTTTCTACTTTAAAATGTCAATTAATTCAGTGTGTTACTTGTAGTTTTTCCTTATTACTAGCAATTTCTGAGTGAACGTTGTTTCAAAGCAGGTTTGTTATAGTTAACTAAAATTAAATCAGAAAGAGCTTTATTTGCCAAACACACAAGGAATAAAAATGAAAATTAATAAAACTTAGACACAAAAATGTATCTCATTGATACTGAAACAACCGTTTCAAAGCCATTTTTAGAGTACATTAGTAAATCAAGCCCTGTTGCTTTATTATTATTATTATTAAACAATTTGTGCAAATATACAGGAATCACAGGCGGATGGTGGTGGAGTGGCTGAACGACCCGGCTGAAGAGCTGCAGTTTGTAGCAGAAATTCTTAGTCAAGATGCCAAGAACTACCACGCATGGCAGCACAGACAGTGGGTCATCCAGGTACAGATCCAGGTCCAGTGTGGTGTGTAACAGTTTGCTGATCTGCATGTGTGTTCATGGTTCGTCTCTGTGTGTCACAGGAGTATAAGCTGTGGAATGGAGAGCTGGAGTATGTGGAGGAATTGTTAGAGGAGGATGTGAGGAATAACTCCGCTTGGAATCAGAGACACTTTGTCATTAGTCACACCAGCGGATACTCCGACCCTGCCATCCTCGACAGAGAAGTGCAGTGAGTCTCATTCGTTACCAAATCATAGCTTTTTTGCTCAAAGAAAAATTGTATAACTCCATGTGATCCTTTGTATTTTTGCAAAGCTGAAATACCTTTGCAAAAATTCAAATGATCACATCAAGTTATGAAAATGGCCTTGAATTAATTCTTTGTTTGTAATTGCATGTCATTTCTCAGGCTTTTGAAGTTATGCTTTATGCTTTTGAGAGTGATTATTCAATAACTGCATCCAAAAAATTCCAATAACAAAAAGTTTTTGCGACTTTTTAATCACACAGTTCAGATTTTGCTCAGAATTGCGAGCAAAAAGTCAAAAAAAAATAAATAAAGTCTCAAAAAATTTTTGAGATAAGTAGCAACTAATTTATGGAAATGTCTAGTTCTATAATAGTGCATAGTTCTATAACATTAACAAAAATGTATTACCTATAAAATGATGAACATATTAGAGTCAAAGCGCTGTGCATCTGTATCACCTAAAGCTGCTTATCTGAAGAGCACGCTAGTGTAATTGCTTGTTGTGTGACATTACATGGAACATGTGAATGTTTATCTGGTTCCACCTGCTTTTAAAGAAACCGTTTCTGTAGAATTTGCACATTAAGACTATTATTTGTTACTTGATAAGCAAATATGGCCAATTAAAACATTCAGTGCCTCTCTCTCCCTTTTTCTCTGTCTTTCTCTCTTTAGGTACACCCTGAAACAAATAAAGAAAGCTCCTCACAACGAGAGCGCTTGGAACTATTTAAAAGGGTGAGTGTTGCAAACAGATATAAACAGCCTATGAAGTCATCCAGTCATCCAAATCAACCAGCAGATGGCAGATTCTCACCATTAACAGATGTAGATGTATTGCACAAAAACACAGTTTTAACCGAAGGGCCATAATGAATGTTTATGATCATGGATCATTAACAGGGTTTGCCAAGGCAAGCATCACTATAATTGTTGCTACTTGGAAATAAATATAAATATGTGTAGTATTTGCATGAATTTAAACATCGCGCATATATTGTGATTTGTCTCAAAGCATCTGTTCTGTGGCTCAGGATCCTACAGGATGGTGGGCTCTCCTCGTATCCTGGACTGCTGGAACAGATGACAGAGCTTCAGGACACATGTAGTTCTCCATATCTCACTGCCTTCCTGGTCGACCTCTACGAAGATGCTCTGGAGACCAATAACTCCAGCTACGACCAGCAAGAAACACTAAAAAAGGCTTTGGAGGTGAGCTTGTGAGTTTGCATATAGAGATAACAGTAGCCATGTTTACATTAAGAGCGTTTTCAGATTAAGATTAAACATTAAATACATTTTTCCGTTAAAGTTTACTCACTCTCAGGCCATCTAAGATGTAGATGAGTTTGTTTCTTCATCAGAACAGATTTGGAGAAATTTAGCATTACATCACTTGCTCACCAATGGATCCTCTGCAGTGAATGGGTGCCGTCGGAACGAGAGTCCAAACAGCTGATAAAAACATCACAATAATCCACAAGTAATCCACACAACTCCAGTCCATCAGTTAACATCTTGTGAAGCAAAATGCTGAGTGTTTGTAAGAAACAAATCCATCATTAAGACATTTTTAACATAAACATTTGCATTGGGCTAAAATAAAAAGTCCTCTATCCAAAATAATGCTTCCTCCAGTGCAAAAGTCTGAATCAGAAAGAGAAATATGCACAGATCAAGCACCGTTTACAAGTGATTTTGATGTGAGAGGACAACGGGATAGACTTTTTCACTGCAGGACGTGTAATTATTGTTTATGGATTGGAGGTGTCGGTTTTAAGTTAAAACATCGCAATGATGGATTTGTTTTTGTACAAACATGCTGCTTTTCACTTCACAAGACATTAATTGATGGACTGGAGTGGTGTGGATTACTTGTGGTTTGTGATGTTTTTATCAGCTGTTTGGACTCTCATTCTGACGGCACCCATTCACTGCAGTGGATCCATTGGTGAGCAAGTGATGTAACGCTAAATTTCTCCAAATCTGTTCTGATGAAGAAACAAACTCATCTAACATCTGGCCTGAGGGTGAGGAAATGTTCAGCAAATTATCATTTTGTGATATAAATAGCTGCTTTTTAAGGTAAATAACATTATTTATTGTGATTTAAATCATTAATTAATCACCAAAGCATATTAATGAAGCAGAACTGCTGTTGTAAAACTTTTCAAAACTTACATAATGTGCCCATGTGCAACATTACTGTAAGAAGTGAACTCAGTTATGAGCATTTTATTATGGATAACACTATCAAACGCTGGGAGTTTTTTTTGTCATAAATAATTAATTAGCCCGTATCACATGTAAAGTGTTCTCATAAAGAAAATGTTGTATAATTCTTTGGTGTAGTGATTGTTTCATCTCTTTTAGCATGTAGGTTCACTCACAGATATCTAAGTATATTTCATAGAATCTGTTGAATATTTCACAGTTTGGTGGTTGTACAAAAATAGACATCATCCAGTGATTAAGGTCATTAGAGATTTTGGAATTCTGTCTTTAGCTGAAAGCGCTTGTCTTTAAATATTAACTCAACACAACTTTAATAGATGTTAATTAATAATTGATCTGTGGTTCCATACCAATAAACAAAATGAATATAAAACGTAACATGGCTGCCTCTGCACGTCAAAGAGCTTGTCTCCACCATAAAGGAAGGGAAATCGGGACAAGGAAAGTATAATTCGCCTCTTGAGTATTTCTCCATGACAGGCCTTGTGTTTTCCTCCGCAAACGTGTGGATGTTGTGTCTGTGTTGAGGTTAATGAGATTTCTTTGCTGTGGGTTTCTCATCCTGTGCCGCGATGATGATGATGGAGTTGAAAATGATTTTCTGTTTTGAAATTGAGGCCATGTGTATGTGTTAAAAAAAACCGCTTCAACCTTTCAGCTGCAGTCAGACTCGCCAGCATATGAGATGAGGAACATGGAAGCTGTCAGAGGAAATGGATAAGAAATTAATAGTTTTGTGCCAAGACAAAAAAAGAAACCTTATAGTAATGTGGGGTGGATGGTATTCAGAGTTGCACTGTTCTGACAGTCTCACCAAAACAATCTGAGATCGATGAACCAAACTGTATCATAATTCATAATGGGAAATGCCTTAGGTAAAAAGCAGCAGTGTCTGATTATGTGGGTGTGCACATTAGTTATCACAGCTTAAAAAAACTCTTTATCCTAAATTGTTGTGTAATTGCTGTTCTCCAAAACAGGTTCAAGTATGAAGCCTTGATTCCCACTCTAATAAATATATATATATATAGGTATGTACATATTGCACACATAATTGGTTTCCTGTGTATGTATGTAACCAAAAAGAAAATTCAGTTTAAGTCCCTGTTTTAGAAAAAGCAATCTACACATCTGAAAATTCTCTGAATTTGATTCTTGAACCAACTTCATTTTGTAAGTTCTTACCCTCCGTTTTAGTACAGAATCTATAGTAAAGTTCTCACAGTTGTAGAGAAATGGAATTTACATAATTCTAGAGTCAGGGATCAACGCTAAGGATGTTTTCTTTTTACTTGCCCTGCCAACATTTTCACTGGCCCTGCCACAAAAAATTAAATAGTTGCTGTTATCATTGCTTTTGATTTGTTATCTTGTATTCTAATAAATAAGGTTATATGACACCAATATTTTAGTTACCAATTAAATTTTACAATTCCATATTTCAATTTCGATACCACAGCAAAAATCGCTAGCCAAAAATAAATATAAAGTTTAAACATTATTAAAGACAAGTGAAAGCCAGTTAATAAGAACAAATTACAAGTAATAGCACAATTAAAAATAGGCCTATAACACAAAAATAGAAATGAAATGATGCTTTAGGTTTTTATGTTTGTAGATGTTTAGGTACAGAAATTGAAAAATCTCACATAAAATAACATGTGCATATTCTTCACTCTGTGTTGCACCTTGATTTTTCATAGCCATTTGAAATTAGAGGCAACCACTGCATTTTAATCATGAATTGGAAAAAAAAAAAGTGCAATGTTTGATTTATATTAGACTGTATAATTTCAAAATCTGAAGCAAAAACAGAATAACCTGACTTTAGCTATGTGAAATGATGCTACAGAAAACATCGGTATGAAACCGAAACAGCAGGTGGGCTGAATGAGACGCAGATTCACTCTCTGACAGCAGGCGGCGCTTATGGTACAGTGATACAGCGTTTCCTTGGTTACAGCTGTAAACACAGCAGCACTGCCACTCATTTAAATGCATTATATGGAGACAAAATGAAAAGAAAGCGCCATTTCTGAAAACAGTCAGTTCCGTTCCCCTCAGGAACACATTCATAAAATACAATATTTGGATTTTCGTCCTATATTTCGCGCATCGTGAACAGTGATCATGTTCTGCCTGCTACAGTGTTTTCTCCTCTTTGGGCCTGTTTACACCTGGTCATTTCATGCGTTTTTGCTGATCGGATATATATCGGATTTGTTAAAAAGTTTCCATTTACACTTGACCACATAAATGTGTCGTCGCAAAACAGATTTAAATCCGATCTTCAATTCCCACGCTGTATTTAAATTTAACAGTTCACGTCAACGAAATCAAAAGATAAGCGCTGCATTTTATTAATTATCATCTCATTTCAAGATCAAAGACTGTAATAGGAGAGCGCACAGCATCAGCACTGGAAAGATACGTTTGTTTTACTACTTTTAATAAAGATGATTGTGTGTTGACCGTCTGCGTCTTTGTTTCATTCGCGGCAGTTTGTTTAATTCGGCTTGCTGAAGAGATAGCTACTCGTCCGCTGCGATGCGTGTTGCATTAGCGCAGTCATATCTGACTATAATGTCATATAGCCTATAACACGCTCTCACACGTTTATTATTTTAACATTTTGGGAGGAGTAAAATTTACATATGTGGTTTCAACAACCAGATGCATTTACACTGGTCCAGTTTCGTCTGGAATGCGGCCCAGACAACCTCCTGAAGTGGTTTGAGCGATCGAATTTATTTATATATATATATTTATATTTTATATATTTATATCCGTTTCGAAGGGAATTTACACCTGGCCTTTTCACGATCCGGATAGCTATCCGATCAGACAAAACGCATAAAGTGACCAGGTGTAAACAGCCCTTTAGTGTCCGTCTTCAGCATCTTTGGCCTCTGTTAATGGCCGTTTACAGACTAAGTATAATAATAACGTAATATTTACACACAAATGGCCATTGGGAAAATGATTGCAGTGCAGTTTGTGTGCAAGCACGGAACAGAAGATAGTCTGAAATAAAACAAAAAATGTCCGGTAGATCGGTGCATCTGTACTCCTGTGTAAAAATTCTATATAGATTAATCATTGTTAAAGCTGCAAAGTTACTTGCCAGGACGGGTATTTTGACATACTTTTGTATGTATTTGCCTGGTCAGGCGGCTCGCGCGTGTCAGAGATGCGGCTGTCTGTGTGCGCGCTGTTCACACAGAACACAGCGCGCGAGTACTGAAAGGAGTTGTCTTTCGAACCCAAACGTAAGAACTGCATGAGCACATTTGGAATATGGATTTTATTGTACTTAGGCACATTCTAAATTTCATTCATAGGACAAAATATAGAACCTTTTCTACGCACTGTTGATAAATGAAGGCCCAGGAGTAGGCTGTAACCTTAATCTCCAGCACATCCGTGGTAAAGACAATGTGGTGGCGGATGCGCTCTCTAGGACTGCAGATGTGGAGACTTAAGTGGGTTGGTTAAAACAAAAAGAAACGTATGGTTGACTTGCACTACTATTGGAGTTCTATGAGTAGTTACAGGGGCTGTTTACACTTATCTATCTTACGTTAAAACGTTTCCATTTACACTTGGCCACATAAATGTGTCGTCGCAAAACAGATATATAAATCTGATCTTCAATTCCTGTGCTATATTTAAATTTAATGGAGTTCACGTCAACGAAATCAAAAGATAAGCGCTGCATTTTATTAATTATCATCTCATTTCAAGATCAAAGACTGTAATAGGAGAGCGCACAGCATCAGCACTGGAAAGATACGTTTGTTTTACTACTTTTAATAAAGATGATTGTGTGTTGACCGTCTGCGTCTTTGTTTCATTCGCGGCAGTTTGTTTAATTCGGCTTGCTGAAGAGATAGCTACACGTCCGCTGCGATGCGTGTTGCATTAGCGCAGTCATATCTGACTATAATGTCATATAGCCTATAACACGCTCTCACACG